AAGACACACGCGAGGGAGAGAGAGAGAGAGAGAGAGAGAGAAAGGAGGTCATTTCTGACTTTTATCAAAAATCCCTTTTTCAAATAATTACGATTATGCCACGAAGTTTCATTCGATCATAACTCTCTCGTTACAACTCCGATTTGAGCCCACTATGTGTCTACGGACTCACCTCGCTGTGCTCTACGCAACGGTACAATCAGAATTCCCAATTTCATTCCCGATCAAAAAGTCAACTTTGAACCTAATAAAATATTTTAGGGGCAAATTGGTCCTTTTATTTGAATAAATTAATATTCGCCAACTTATTTAGGACTGGGTCATTACACAAGAAGCACTTGCGTGACTCAAAATCTCTTTCGTAGCTCAAACTATCACGGATAATAATTTTATATTTCCAAACTTGCAGGACAAAAATTGTCGTCACGAAAGAATACTTAGCGTGACAATATACTTTATCGTCACGTAAAGTTAACAAGAAAAATGAGGGGATATTTTATCTGGCACCAAACACTTACGCGACGAATGCTATCGTCGTGAAAGAACACTTAGCAATGAAAAACGTGGGTTTATTTTATTTGGCGCCAAACACTTGCGCGACGAACATCTATGTCGTCTCGTAAAGTTAGATGTCGGCACGTTCATGAGCAATGAAAACGGTATTTTGAGCAACGATATTGAGCAGTGTAGCGACGAAAACGTTCTCCTGTCACTTAAAGTTTGATGTCGACACGTACCTGAGCGATGAAAATGGCATTATACGCGACAAAGATGACTGTTTGTGAGACGAAAATGATTTTTTGCGCAACGAACGTTATCTTTTTCTCGATGAAAGTTTGAGCGATGAATCCCCTTTCATCGCTCAAAATCCTTCATGAAATATATAAGCTGTATTCGGCCATTGCAGAGGAAAATTGCAAAAAAGTTTGCAGATTGCCTCTGCGTCCTCCTCTCTCTCTGCTGGAAATTCTCTACGTTCATTGGGTAAGTATTTTTTATCGTCAGTTTAAAAGTATTAATGTAAATTCATACTAACGCCATTAATTTCATTTCTATAGGAATATTATGTGTGATTAGCAATTGGTGGAGAACAATTGAGAATGTATTTTCTTCGTTTTATATTTTAAAAATATATAATTAATTACATTATGTTATGTTTAATTGTGCGTGATGTAGCACAATGTGTTGTGATGTACAAAGTTAATTGAAATTAACTTCGTACTTTTTTTTTATAGTAAAACTTAGTTTCCTGCTCGAGGATTAATTGGATTTCTTGCACGAATGCGAAAGAATGACTGCAGTCCAATTAATTCTTGAATTGTCCCATTATTTGGACAGTTTGGGAATGCATAGTCATGTCACGTAATTTACGGCTACAAGATTAGGTTTCGGTTATGGAGATTTCGGTGTCATCTCAGTACGTTCTTCGGGTGGTACATAGGTATTTTATACCTACGGTACACTTCAAGAACTGTATCAAGATGCTGCCGAAATTCATCCACGTCAAAATCTAATCTTATGTAGCCGTAAATTATGTGACATGACTATGCGCAATAATGACGGAGGTGTGAGAAATGAGAAACTTTCTGTTTTTGCCCAAAGCGCACGACCCTTTGGAGATCCTGTACAAGGAGAGTCATTTTCTAGAAATGATATGGAGGTAGCGCATTGGTTCGTACTGAAAAATTGTGATGAGATAATCGCATACTTAGATGAGCATGAAGAGATGATGAAGCGAGAACATCCATCACATTTGTATACCAAGAAACTCCGTGAATTGTTTCCACAATGATTTTTAGAATATGTAAGTTATAAGTGTTTTGTATTTGACATATATATTGTAGTATTTAATTTTCTCAAACTAACATGTGAATGTTTTTGTATAATATTAGGTGAATAAGTTGAAATCATTGAATTCCCCCACTTACAGTGAAGAGTTATATAACTTGGCATTCGGCCCAATTCGCGTTCAATTGTTCTCGGGTTGCCATGTTAACGGCGTCAAGTTTTTGGGGACTGCACGAGATGACAAGTTGTGTACGCAAAACAGTGATGTCCATGTCTCAAGTAGAGGTGAAAGTACGGACATTGATTTCTATGGCAAACTCATAACTATCGTGTAATTGCTTTACAAAGACCGATACCAAGTGATCATGTTCAAGTGTCGATGGTTTGATACAAACCCAAATAGGCAGGGAAGTGTTAAAATCGACCATGGCTTACTATTTGTGAACATTAACAGAACTTGGTATGTTGACGACCCTTACATTTTGGCAAACATGGCAAAACAGATTGTGTATCTAGATGACCCTAAAGCCAGGAGCGGTTGGAAAGTTGTTCAACAGATTGATCAGAGGAACGTGTATGCTATACCAGAACTAGACCCAACTGACAACGACGTCGACAACGTCGCTGACCAACGTTTAGAATCTTCAATGGAAAATGATGAGGAAACACTTTAAGATACAATGTTATACAAGAACCATTTCAGATACAAGAAGTGTCTTCAATCGAAATATCGATTCAGTCAATTACAATTGGCCTTGGTGATCTTCCGCAATATGATGTTGCAGTGGGCCCGAACAATAACGGTGATGAGGAGGAGGATTGGGAGACCGAAAGTGATGATAGCGACGATAAGGAAGATTATTATAGTTCAGAAGATGAATAATAAAATTTATTTGCGACTTCCCATGTAAAACATAGTAAATGAAATTTTTTGTAATTCAAATATGTTAATGTTTTCATTTTATAAAGTTAAATATTAGTATGTTCGGTACAAAAATAAGAGTTCAAGAGAAACAAGAAGACATGAATTATTTTTTTTGGTTTTGAGTGGAAGAAAGTACTTTTTATTTATTTGGGAGAAATTGTTATTTTTCATAAATTTTTTTAAATTTTGTAAAACAACCTACCACTAATACACCCTAAATAATAATAATAATAAATTATGTTAATTGCCATTTGAAGGTGGTCAAGTTGCAAGAATGTAGATTTCATGAATATGCATTTGAAAATGCAAATGGTTACAATTATTTCTATTATTTCAGAATGCTTGCAGATTTTAAAAAATAAAAAATAAACCTTGCGAGACGCATCAACCAAGTCATCGTGCAAAGGGTTTGAGCGACGAAAATGTAATTATACGTCGCGCAAGTTGTGATAATTTTGGCAGTTCAATAGTTAAAAATACCTTGCGCGACGCCTAAACCATACCCTAAACCCTGAACCCTAACCCTAAACCCTAAACCCTAAACCTTGATAATTTTGGCGTAAAAATAGTACCTTGCGCAACGCGTTAGTTTTTTCATCGCTCAAAGAGATTTTGCGCGACGAAAATGTGTATTACGTAGCGCAAGTTTCGATAATTTTGGCGTAAAAATAGTACCTTGCGCGACGCGTTAGTTTTGTTGTCACGCAAGTGGGTGAAAATTTTGGCTGCCTAGTTGTGAAAAAAAGGCACTTTTCTTTTTCATTACTTACCCTCTCTCCTTCGACCCCTCACAGACCTGACCCCGCTCATCCCTCTCTTCAAACCGAAGACGACGGCTAGCCACTCCCCCTCAGACCCTCTCTCCTTTGATCCCTCTCTTCGAACCGGAGATGACAGCCAGCCACTCCCCCTACATCACCGGTCTCATTCTCTCCGGGTCTCCCTCGAAACCCCCTCTGGTAAAATTCCCAACTCCAGCCCCAATTTTTGTTTTTCAACGCTTTCATGAGTTTTCTGTTCAAGTTTGGATATTTGGACATGTTTGTATTGCTAATGCTGGAGTTGAGTATCTTCATCTGTAAGTTTGGATAATATTGGTTTGATATTTGGATAATATTTTGATCTGTTCAAGTCCGAATATTTGGTTTGATAATATTGGACATTTGTTTTGAAATTTTGGATAGGAAATGAGTTTTCTGTGCAACACCCCCAATCTCTTCCTCTCCTCTCCCATCGCTGATGCAACTTTTTCAACACCTAAAAGAGTATCCAAAATATGAGAATCCTTATTCTTAAAATGTTAATATTTTTGGTAAGTATTAAATTTTAGTAATTATATTTATATATATATATTTATAATGGAAATATTATTCATTTGATAAATACATAATTCATTTGATATATGCATGCTTATCTTCCTCCAAATTTATTGTGTGGTGTTAAACAAAACATGTGGTGTCTTCATATTATATTGTTAAGTGTGAATAGTTACAAATTGATTACGTCATGTAAGCAGGAGGTGGAACTATAAGTTTTCCTCTTATTGACACATCTTAGCATGCAATTGTTTAATAAAGTTTTTGATAGATATTTCAGTTTTGGCTTGAAGAAAAAGGTTGTTATATTGTTATCCTTTAGTAAACAGCCAATTACTTCATCCAATAGAAGTAAAGGTAAAGCCGACATTCCGTTAGTATAAATAGGAATGCAATTCTTTCATTTTGAAACGCATGGCATGCGTGGTTTGCAAACTATAAGAGTTAAAGAGAGGGAAGTACTAGTGAGAGAGAATTTGAGTGTGGAGGTGGTGGGAATTAGGGAGTCATCTTACAATTCTAGTAAAAGCTTTGGTGTCAAGGTAGGGATTTCTTAGTGACCTATTACAAAGATTGATCTGATTAAATTTCGTGAGCATTATATTATGCGTGATATTATTATTTGATTATTATGGATATTGGATGTTTAAGTGTTGTTAATTATCATTATATCATTTTATTAATATTGACATGATCATATGTTATCGGCGATGGCTGGAATTCTTGGGTTGATAAAGAAAGTATGGAAAAGAGGGTAATGGAAATAGTCTTTTGTGTAGTTGAGTCTAACTCTTGGCAGGTACCAGGTCTCAAGGATCCCACAATGCACATGGTTTTATTGGGTGATTCAGGACTGGCGAAAGAGAGTTAGACAAGATGACTAACAAAAGGGGAATTATGGGATGATTAAAATGGGTGTTAGTTCATATAAATGGGCATTCGAGACCAAGTGATATAAGCATGGTATGGGACGTGCAGCACGCTTGTCCAGTTATATGAATTAACGGTATTAGATGAAGAACATTCATGCATTGTTATTAATAATGTGATATTTGGCTGTGTGATTGCATGTCACTTAATTTAGTTATATCAATATACTGTGGTAAGGTCTCATGTCCCTACTGAGCTGTGGTTGCTCACCCCTCACCCTGTTTAATTTTTTAGATGAATTAGTGGGCAAGAAAAGGAATAAGCCAGTTGAGGTTGAATTAGATGAGAGTGTGTTAGAGCTTTACTTATTGTAAAGTTGTAAGATTTTGGATCTATTTTTATAAGAGAAGTTTATTTTAAACTCATGTTTTGGCATCTTTTTATTTTTATTTTTATTTTTTTCTCAAGCACCGGGCGTTGGGTTTCAGCCGACCCCAGGTCCGGGACGTGACATTTCTGTTTTTCACTCTCCATGTCTCCAACATTAATCTTGACTTTACATTCAATCAGAAAACTGAACTGGAATATATGGTGTACTATGTGCAACATCTAATTTGCAGATTTACCTTTTGCTATGATTTGAACCACTGAGACATGTGTTGGTGTTTGAAGTTTGGAAACAACTGATATCTTTTGTTTCTTCAGATTTTCGTAATACTGTTCTTGTGTATTAGAAGGTAGCAATGACTGTTTCTCAACTGTTACCAAATTGAAACCACTGTTATTTGTTTTGAGGCCATTTTCTTGGATTTGAACTGGCATGGAGTTCTCAGTTGGACTTTTGATGGGATGATGATTTGCGGTTGTAATCTAACTGTATTTGTACTCTGATTATGTACAAGCATTAGAATGGGCCCCGTATCAGTAGTTTTTCTCTTGTGCTGCTTTCTTATTGCATCCAAAAAAAGTGCCAATAATATTTTTCTGTTTTATGGCTGTCAAGGCGATTATTCAATTTTTTTTTTTTTCTCTTTCCCAATCTTGCTTTTTCTCTTCTTTTTTTTTTTTTTTTTTGGGTATATATTTTTGTCTTTGTTCCTTTTGCTCTTTACTTTGTGTTTACTTTTTATTTTACATTTTTTGCCTTTTCATGTATTTTTCTTTATTACATAATTTTAGCTCATTCAATTTTATAATTTGTTTTCATCTTGCTTTTTTTTTTTTTCCAATATTAGAAACATAAATAAGGTTCAAAACATCGATATAGTTGTAACCGAGATAAATTACATTGTTGACTGTCTTGCAATGTTTATAATATTTCTTAGTAGCTTCATAGGTTTAAAGTTTGTTACTTTAGGTGTTGAATTTGAGCAGTAAATAGGACCATGGCTAGGACCATGAGTTTAGTCTGATGGTTGGTTAGGATTTTTTGTTTTCTTGAATGGGTTCCTAGTTGTGCAGATGTCAAATCTTATTAGAAGTTGTAAGGCGGTGACAACTACACAGATTCTGCCTCCCTTAGCTCAGACGTCAGCAGCCACCGATCCAGCATAGATAGACCACTTGCCGATTGGTCTTGGGGTCTCCCATGCGTCGGCGTCATCAACGTCATCAGTGGCGCAACCTGTTAGCACCAGGCGTCATCATCGCCCCCCAATACGACCGACACAACATCGACATACTCTACTGGTGTGTCGAGGTCACAACTAGGTAAAGATTTCCTTGAACTCCAACTGTTTTGGACCAAGACTTTAGTAGGATTTGTTATTTAACGTTAATTTTATATTTCTTTGCAGCCAAGAAGAACACCCGAGGACCTTGTCGCCAATTGAAGACGGTGAAGGTCACCGGGGTGACCAACAGTCGTATCAATATTGGATACGACGAGCGGCATCGGGCTGCATCAACGGCGGAATTGCATAGCTCATTGGCCCATGACATTGGTCACATCGTTCAGACCCCTTGCCCGATGAAATGGAAGTCTTAGAAGGTCATGCCTGACAAGATGAGGATGGATGTGCGCGGACAATTGTCGGTATATATCCTACCTTTTAATTGTTTTTCCTTCAAACTTTATATATTTATATTACTTAATGTATGTAATTAATTTATTGCAAATGAACTACAATTTAGAGGACCTCAACGACGAGTCGTTAGCGTACGTCAACAGACTCTTTGCTGAGAGGTACAAGCAGTGGAAGAGCGACTTGCACCACCAATTTCAAGCATTTGATGATCCGTAGGTTGCTCTTCAGGTGGGTTGCCCGAAGGAGCTTGAGGGGTAGGAGGATAGTTGGGCGTGGCTTTGCAGTCATTTTCAGGAGGCCAATTATGTGGTTTTTTTTAATATTAAGTTGAAAATTATTACACGTTTCTTACTAATGTTTATTTAATTTTTTATATTTCATTTCAATTTCAACTAATACGTTTATTTTTTGTATAACAGAAGAAGGCGAAAGCAAATAAGGGCAATAAGGACAAGAAGACTCTTCTCCACCATTCAAGTTCCAGGCCCTTCTCAAATAGGATGGAGGCGTGGTGATGGGTAATAATAAAATTGTTTATATTCAATTTTTAATATGTCATTAATATTAATTTGTTTTTTTGTACTAACATTTTTCTTCTCTTGTTCAATTCAGGAGGGTCCAAATTCCTAGAGATTGACGTCTTTGGCTACGTTTATATTCGATCTGGGAGTGAGTTGGCCGAGTCCCTTCATGTAAGTATTCTTTAATTTAATTATTATCTTACGCATTTCAAGTTTCATGGTTATTATACGAATGTTTTAATTAATATTTTATGTTATGTTAAACAGGCGACGATGATGGAGAAGAGCTAGTTGGTTTTTCAGGAGTCCACTTCCCAACTTCCTCCCTATACTCCGCTTGAGTCTGTGGATCCTCCATAGAATGTGGGGTTTCAGATCCTGACGGAGACCTTGGATCAGACTCTCGAGAGGAGGCCAGAGACATATTGTCAAGGGATGGGGAATGCCTGGCGGAGGAACCTAGAGTCCATTCATCGTCGCAGTCAAACAATCAAGTGACTGATTTGACAGCAGAGGTGGCTGAGCTTAAGACCCAACTCATAGTACCTAGATGTCACAGCTTCTAGAGTCCCTCGCTCTGTTTGGCATTCCAATCCCGCATTTTGGTCCCTCGTCGACCTCCGAGCCCCTCCAACCCGAGCATGGCCACCACACCTCTACCCTTGTTGACAATGTCCAGACCTCCAAGCCGCATTTGCAAGACGACCACGTAGATTTTGGAACATTTTTTTATTAGTTTTTTACTTTCTTAATTACATTTTAAACATTTCTCTTGTACAATATGCATTTATATTATTTTATTTTAAAAAATTTCTCTTCATTACATTTTTTTATTGCAATTTCATTTTATTACAAACAAACAAAAAACTAAATTTTTTTTTCACAAAATAGAAAAAATTTAAACTCTTCATTACATTTTTTTATTGCAATTTCATTTTATTACCCAAAAAAAAAACCAAACCAATTCACGTTTTTACAAAATAAAAAAACGTAAAATTAAATTTAAATAAAATATATTTTATTTTTGCGCGAAGAAAGTTGTCGTCTCGCGAATAAGAAAAAGTGAAGAAGAAATTTCGTCGCGCCATGGCGTCTTCGCGCACATGTTTGTGACACGAATAGTACTCTCGTCCCTACATTTTTGCACGACGAATGTGAACCGTCGCGCTGTGTACTCGCAACGAACTTGTTGTCGTCGTGCAAAGTTTTGAGAGATGAACTTTTGTCTCGTCCCTAAAGTTTTGTGCGACAAAGGTTAACCGTCGCTCATGTTTTCGCGACCAATTAACAATATTTGTCACGCAAAGTCTTTCTTCACAATCTTTGCACAACGGATTCAGTGCGACAAAGTTTCTGTCGCACTGAAATTTGTGCGACTCAAATGTTCTTTGAGCTACCAAATCGTTTTCGTCGCACAAATAGTAAAATGTAGTAGTGTCCCATATTGAGAAAAATGAAATACTCTTAAAAGAAACACAACCGAATGTAGATCACTTGATCCCATGTGATGCATCGGTTGCTGACTCCAGACCCCAAGAAGTGTGCATATAAAATATATATTATACGTACTATGCACATGTTTTTCTTCATTTTTTAGTGTGAAACATGGCCACAATATAAGCAAAATGATATTGAGCAATGAATAGAAGATGATGGATACGACGATTTTGTCTCTAGGATCCACAACATGCACTACAATTCCTCTATAATATATTTTGCAAAGCTTAGTCAACTTCGACTTCTTTCTCCATGGATCTGCTTCGGGAGATCATATATTAATTCTTTCGCATCCATCACTCTAGGTCATGCACATGCACGTATAAATGTAGTGGGTCTACAGTACTCAAAAGAGGAAGAAAAAAAATATCCAACTCTCTTTTTAAGGATTTGTGTAGTCAATATACTAATATAGGAGACAATTCCTACCGCCCCTAAGCCTTCTTCCTTGGGCATTTTTTATTTTTTTATTTTTAAATCCACAAAAGGTGCTTCTGAAACATATGAAAGTTCCATGAATACAGGACATTTAAGAAGTTAAAGGAAAAGAAAAAGGGCCAACAACAATTTGTTGAAAGTGCCTCCTACTCATAAGGTCCATTTTTTTCTTCTTCTTGTAATTTGTTTGGCACTATTCTCCTGTCCATAGGCATTAGGTGGTTAGCCCTCTTCTGATCGAGAGCAGATCCACTGTTCTTAAATTGGTGTCTCCTCTATATCCCTTCTCTAATTTGCTGACACATGTCAACTAGCATAACAGAAGGTTAACTCTATTAACTCTTTTATTTGAGAATTTTAAATATTAAAAAAATTAAAAACAGCCCAAAATACGCGAGCATGAATTATGGATATGTTTACGGTCACAAAAGTTTCTCTCCTATTTTGGTAATGTGAATGTTAATGGCAGCGAATGTGAAAAGAACCTGGGTCAGACTTTCTCCATTCATTCGCATGCAATAGATATAAGACAGGTTCTTATTTTATAATCTTAATTCATGCCCCAAATATTATAAAATGTTGGCAGAAAATGGATCTTACTCCTTGCAGTTAATGCCAAGCGGAGGAAAGGGCACACGAAATGGCCAGCAAGACGCTCTCTATTTCAATGGCGGTGCATGTGACTGATCCAAGACCCTCACTATTATATGAATGCACTAAATCCCATTTGCTTTCACTTGTTTCTTCACATTTTACACTTCAGTTTCTTCGAGCATTTCCCTCCTCTCTTTGGACTTGGCTCAGCCAACACTTAATTGATTGCTGATTGTTTCTATTTAGCCATGGCCATCTCTAGGGTTTTGTTGTTGTTTGCTCTCTGTGTGCTTCCGGGGCTTGTCAGCGCACGCACATTGGGCAACCCCTTCCACATCCAAGGCCGTGTCTACTGCGACACTTGCCGTTGTGGTTTTGAGACCACTGCCACCACTTACATTCCCGGTACTCCTTGTAACCCCATTAGTTTTCTATTCATGTTGACTTGCATATCGCATTTTCTGATCACATAGCTAAACACATTATGTGACAGATGAGTCTTACCTGTTATGTACAGACTGAACAAACGTATGATGTTTTTTCTGAACATTTGTTTGAATTGTGTGTTATGCTGTGCTTGTTAATTAGGTGCAACTGTGAGAATTGAGTGCAAATACAGGAACACCTTGCAGCTTGCTTACAGTGTTGAGGGAGAGACCGACGCAACTGGAACATACAACATTTTGGTTGAAGATGACCATGAGGACCAAATCTGTGAGTCTGTTCTTGTTAGCAGCCCAGTAAATGACTGTAAATCAGCAGACCCGAGACGTAACCGTGCAAACGTGGTGGTCACCCGTTACAACGGCATCGTTAAGGACAAGCATTACGCAAATAACATGGGATTCTTCAAGGATCAGCCGTTGGCTGGGTGTGAAGAACTGCTAAAGCAATACTTGAACTATGATCAGCCAGAATAGAGGAGGAGGAGCTGTATACAGCCTTGTTAGCTTATGTGGGCTATCTTAGGTTTGAGCTATAATGCTGTTGGTTATATAAACCTATCATTGATCTCAATGATATGGTGTTGGTTCTCCGTCTGTCTTTAATTTGTTTAGTTTGTGGACGTTAATGTTTTAATCTTAATGTTCTGTTTCACTATATATGTATGTATTTTGGTCATTCAATTGTGGCTTTCAATATGGATGAACTTCTCTCCTTCTGCTAAATAGATTAGTAACAAACCTTTCATCTCCTCTCTTTTTCAAAATTAAAACATCAATGTCTTTCTTCTTTTTTTGGCAACAAAATCAATAGTATCTTTGAAATATGAGGTTTATATTGTGGGAGCAAATAAATCCGACGTCCAATCAGAAGGCACCACGTGGAAAATAAGCCAATCCTAGAAATATATTATTTAATCCTCGGTTATGCCAAAAATAGCAGTGCCAATAGGTTTTTGGTGATTAACTCTGAAGTAAAGGATGTTGCAAACAACACAGTTATGGAAGCGAGAGATACTACATTCTTTGAAGACTTTCCCTTACAAGACAAGAATTTCTAAGGAAGTACAAACAAATGAGAAGTCTTCTAGCTCAACTACGATCGAAAGTTTAGAATCTTAAGAACTTAGACGAAGCAAAAGAGCGAGAGTTGAGAAGTGTGCAGTGCAGACCCAGAGAAAGTTAGCATCCATCACCCGCACGCCACCTCACTCCGCATCGCTTACCGTCTCTGAGTCGCCGTAACGACGCCTAAAAGTGCAGTGGTTGAAGGTCCCGAAGCGGGTCCAGGTGGACGAATCCTCAACGAAGATTCCCAAATACGATGTGGCGAAAGATGAAGAGGGGAACCCCTCCGAAGCCCTAGGCCACCAAAACAACAACGGAGAAGATAATGGCAGAATGAGAAATAGCAACGTCACTGAAGATCAGGAGCCCTTCATGAGAGTCAAGGTCCGAAGAAAAGCTTTGTTTCACAAAGAATACAAAGGAGACTACATCGACATCCGTTCCAATCCGTACTTGATAAAAAAAGGCTGAGAATGGTGAAACATTTAAAATACCATAAAATGCCCTTGGTTAAATAATATATTTCTAGTCAGGTTTAATAATATATTTAGAGTGCTGCTAAATGAACCCTAAAATTAACTGAGTACATCTAACAAACTATTTATTAAATTACTAATTTATCCTAATATAAAATTACCAAAAAAGATGTATTGAATTGTGAAACAAATATAATTTTAATAAGTACTCTACTCACCATATTCAACCCTAATCAAATAGCAATTGAACAATGGAGGAGGCGCAAGGAGATATCATTGAATGTTTGAGGTCCTGCATTGAACTTGAATTGATTCTTGCATCAAATTATTGTCTTGCCTTGAAACTTGTAAGACACTACTACATTTTAGGCTTTGCGCGACGAAGGGGTCTTCGTCGCGCAAAAATGATTTTAGTCGCACATACTTATGCGCGACAGAAGGTTCGTCGTGCACAATCCATCGCGCAAAGTTCGTGA